TGGAATGTGGGCTTGATAAATATTTGTCTTAAATGACACATTTGTCTCATCACCTTTGTGATCTCATCAGTCACCTCTAGTTTCACAACTGAGTTGCTCTAGCTGGAGAAACTTTCTGAAACTCAGTTTGCCAATGAGATGAGATTAGAGATAAAAATAAGAAAACCCCCTGAGGTATATATTCTCAACCCCGAGGACACAACAAAGCCACTTGGAAAACATAAAAAATATAGTTGCCTGGGTCCCACATTCAGAGAACCTAATGTAATTGGTGTGGAATGGAAGGTAGGCATGGATGTATTTTTTTGAAGTTGCTTAGGTAATTCTAAAGTTCAGTCAGTCAGTTTTGAGAACCACTGACTTAAAGAGGAAGTGAAAAATATATGAGCTACAGTGATTTCTAATTCACTTTTCTCAAAAGGTGATACTTTCCTCAGGAAAAGATAGCTGAAATATTGGAGGCCACACAATAAGTCAAACTAACAACTTTCTAGAGAGATTTTTGCTACAAGAAGTCTGAGTTATACTGTAAGAGGATTCACATTTTGGGCATGATTCTGGCCTTCATGTTCCTACACAGCATGCCTAGAGAATCTTGTCATTCCTACCCAGTCATCTTTAATATGAACTTGATACTGAGCCAAGGGACTGCTGCCTGACTCACATAAAGCCAATATTATGATGTTGTAAGTGCATCTCCATAAAAGGAGGAGCATTACAGCACAGTGAATTGGATGCCATTTTCCCCACCCCCACTTCCATGTAGCTGCCTTATATTACAAGTTCCAGTGTGCCGTGAACTGGACTTCTGGAGGAGGGGAGCTACTGAGCATTCATGTGGCCCTATGCAGGCAGGCACACTCTCTTGCTTTTTTGGTTTTGACTTGCCCCTAGGGACTTGAGGGAGACCCTGGGAATGGGTACTTGGAAGAAACATATGGGTGAGAGACACATGGGGAGGCCGTCCTTGGCAGAGATAATGGCAGCTGTTATTTTGATTTGTACTTTGGTTTTGAATCTTGACTCCTTTTGTCCCAGCTCTCTGGGGCCTGCTTAATCCCTTTCTTTCTTTCTTTCTTTCTTTCTTTCTTTCTTTCTTTCTTTCTTTCTTTCTTTCTTTCTTTCTTTCTTTCTTTCTTTCTTTCTTTCTTTCTTTCTTTCTTTCTTTCTTTCTTTCTTTCTTTCTTTCTTTCTTTTTTTCTTTTCTTTCTTTTCTTTCCTTTCTTTCTTTTCTTTCTTTTCTTTCTCTCTTTCTCTCTTTTCTTTTTTTTTGCCAGAGGGTATCTTAGACTTGTGGTAGACTTTCAGTCCTCAGTGACCCCACTTCAGGATGAGCTTGTTTGGCTGGGCATTTGCTCATGAGGAGGAGGGTAATTTTTGGAGTTTTATTAGGCATATCCTTGCTTCTCATCTCTCTGTATGTGTGCTAATTCTATTAAACTCCATGAACACTCATTCTGTTAAAAATAAAGGAGATTTCCATAGTGGTCTCCATCTTGGTTCTGTTTCCCAGTCTTTCCTGGCTTGCACTGTCACTTCTGGTGAGAAATGAAGAACCTTCTCATCAAAATACCTCCACTGGAGTCTTTGCCTACCTGATGATGTCTTATCAGAAATTCCCCTAACTGGCAGCCCTTGTCACATGCTTGCTACACTCACTATGTTACACCATCCTGCTGAACTCCAGCTAGAATTGGTCCTTAAATTAGTCACTGTAGCAGTTTCAGAAAAGGTGTTAGTTCCTCCTCAGTATCACTACCCTTTTTATTTTTTCTCACTAGCCAAAGTATCTACAGAGAAGGAAAGTACATATTTTGTGTCTAGAATTTGGCTGTTTTTTGGGGGGTGGTGGAATCAAATTTAACAATATAAGAGCAAAGGAGAGGTTAATTGCAGTAGTGCTATCCATAAAAATTTATCCCAGCACCTGGCAGAGAGTAGGAACCTAAAAAAATGTTAGTTTCTATTGTTCTCGGAGGGTGGTAAAATGTGTGGTATCGGTGATGGGTGGTATAATCTGAGTAGTTTTCTCTTTTTACATTTTTAGAGAGTGTGGAGAGAGCAGCAGGGTCCTCGAGGTTAGGAGAGGATTATTTTTTTTTCTCTCGATGAAATTGTTGTGAAATGAAAAGGAAATAGTAGTTGAGCATGAGAGAATGTTGTATAAACTACAAGGCACTATAAATATATGGCACTATTATTGTCATAAGAGATGTACAAGGCAAATGCCATGAGGGTTTGGAGAGAACTTATCCCATTGTGGAATTCAGGAGGAAATAGCATCTGCTGCTTAGTAAGGATGTTCTTCTACAGAGAGTTGGTTTCTGCACTGCATAGCAGAGGCAAACTGGTTGTGAGAACAGTTGAAAATTTTGTCTGCACTTTGTTAGCTATAGAATAGTAAACAAATACAAGGTGGTGTTATCATAGGTATTCCTGGTGATGGCGATGTTATTTTTGAATTTGAAAATATTGATCAGAATTTAACAGGTAGATCTGGCAGGGAAAGGTTGCATGGGAAGAGAAATGAGGGCTGGGTTGGTTTCCACCAACATTCTGGGCTGACTGAGAAGCTCTGTAACATCTGTAACATCTGTAACAGATTTTCTCTTTGAGCATCGGTTGATATCTATTCTGTCACATAGACCTGTGACAATGCTGGTAACACAATATTGAATAAGAAATGTAGTCTGCCCTTCAGGGAGCTCACCTTGATTTGCTTTTGAGGATGACGAAATATCAGATCAAGAAGTCTAGAGTTAATCTATAGGCAATGGAGAGCCCCTGCACATTGTGGCACAGAGGAGTGATAGGGGCCTGGGTTGCATTTCAGGTACTTCTAGAAAAGTGCTTCCCCTCAGCAGTGCTTTCGGTCCGTCTGCCTGTTCTGCTCCCCACTCTATCTCTGGTGAATCCTCTCACCCTCCTGCACCTCTGACCTGTACTCCAGTTATTGTATAAACAAAAAATAAATCTTAAAAAAAAAATCCCCTATTTCTTTGGGAAAAATAAAAGTACTTAAAACAGCTTTCAACCGGTTCGATTTACTATGGGGAAATAATGTCGGGTTAGCAAGTGATTGAGGCCTTCTATACTCAGGATTTCAAACATAGAATGTTGCCCCTCCTCTAGACTTTATATGGGTGTGTGAGTGATTCAATGGTAGAATTCCAAATAAACTTTATTTTTTTAAAACTTCATGTATCATGGAACTAATTATTTCCTTTTTCACAGCAGAGACTAGAAAGTGCAAGTCATATTTAGCAAGTACATAGGACTTCAAAGCATGCATGAAAATATTTACTCCAGCCCCACTACTTTCCCCACATTCATCTTTTTAACCTTTCCTTTGCTTTTAAAAACATTTCATTGAATTATATGTAGTTTTATAAATAATCTGTAACCCTTTCTGGAATAAGGTTAAGTAATAAATAGATGATGGTTATTACTTATTCTTCTTATTTCATTTCTTAATTCAATTTTTGGTGAAGATTATTTAAAATGTCCACTGGGGAAATTTGCACAAATATGGTATAATTGGAAAAGTGACATTACAAGCATACTTTCTGATACTACTGCTTATCTCCTAACTTTTAAAATATACAAGTCATAACCATGTTATGAATGGTTGTAGTCATGTATAACCTAACACTTGAATATAATGTGACTCCATCAGTAACTGAATATTTTTGCATTTAACGTTTGGATTTTGTTTTCAAAAGAATTTAAGAAAAGATACAAACTTAAAACTACCTAAGTCTTTGTTCCTGTATGTTTTTAAAATTCTATTCAGGTTCAAATAAAAGAGCCCATCGGGACATTAGAAGATAAAATCTGTTATCCTGATTTTTAAAAATCATACATATAAAAATGCATTTGAAACGGAATGAAATCATTCTGTTACTAAGATATTTGTAATGCTCTGATTACATTACTAGAGCAGAAGAAAGGCAAATATAGAAAGTGTATGTCTTCCTATTTTCAATCTCCCTTATCACTTCAAGCTTGCATTTTTGAACATTTGAAAACAAGCTAATTTTTAAGAATTTGAAAGTACTAAGGACATTTCCCTTCTGTTAAAAATCCCCTTTTAGTGATTGTCCCTAGGTCCAGTTTACCAGAACTCCAATTAAATCAAGTTTCCTGGGATTATCAGTATACCTGTGACATGTGTTTCCCTCAAGTACCTGCTTCCTCATTCAACTGACTAGGTGATGGAAATTCATTTTTTTTTTTTTTTATTTCTGGTAGACTTGATTATTTCTGAAAAAATAACAAATCCATTCTCTGAATGGCAATGACTTTCTACCTGTGAATGTTATAGGACAGGGAGAGGGTCAGCCCAAACCCCGCAAACCTGCCTATTCTAAATGGGTTCTGCCATCCGCCGCATCAACACAAAACATAGGAGACTTTAATGGGAAGGAACTTTAATAAAACTAGGAAACAACACAGGTAAGGCAAAGAGTCTAGTTTCTAAATGAAGCACCCAAAGTTACCCGTCCCCTCGTGGGTAAAAGTCCATCCAAATGGGATTGGCCCAGAACAAGGCCCCAAAGCCTGCCACAAGTCTAAAGCATCTTCCAGTGGGGACCCACAGCAAAGGGTCACAAACAACCAGACAAGCCCGGAAGGAAAAGAGCAAAATCAACATCAAGATAAAAGCTGCCATGGTCACCTCCCCACGGGTCTCACCCACATCTGTGTCACCCAGTCCACGACCAAAAGACAAGCGCAGTTTCTTTACGTGTCTCTAGGCTCCATGCGCCTCCTCCAGGTCTCCTGGCTCCATCCTGCTTCCTTCCTCAGTCTCTTCTCCAGCTTCTCCTCTTCCTGCTCAGCTCCACCCTCCCTTGGGTGGGGCAGGGAACCTGGAACTTCCCCCTTTCCTGGGGACCACCCTGTTACATGAAGACAAAATAGTAAACTTGGAACTGGAATCCTGAAAGAGAACTTTGAAAATGTCCCAAATAAAGGCACATTATTGGGTTGCCCTTAGGGTGACTGGAGGAGGAGCAGGAGGGGCACATGGTCAGGATGGATTCACTACTTACTCTTCTGAAGAACACGTAATTATTGCTAAGTTAACTGATTTGGAACATAGAAAATTAAACACCACCCAGTTGACTTTATTATTCAAATGTGAGTTTCACCTTAATTCTGATAAACTAATAAATAAATATGTCTGCTAAAAGCACCACCTAGATCTTAAGTGACAACCAGGCGGAATGACTGTTGAGTTTGTAGTGAACTCACATTGATTCTTGGAGATCACTGCTTCTTTTCTATGCTCAATCACCTGCCTACACTTTCCCTGGGGTTTTACTTCTGTCTTTTTAGGCTCAGATAATTTCCCTATTTAGGAATCAGGATACTTGCTTGTTTCTGGTGTTTAAGTACTTCTTCTCATCTCAAAATATCTCAAATATCTCCAAGGGTGATAAATGGTGTCTGTGTTTCTTGTATATTATGGGGTAAATTTTATCTGGGTCTAGAGATTAGTCATGCAGAGTAGTTAAGGGCACTCTTTCTTCCTCTCCAGATATCTTGAGCCACAGTTCTCTACTTTTGTGGTTTGTCTGACCCTTGTGAGTTCTTATTATGATTCCATTTGTACCAGGAGAAAATGGAAACCTAGGTGAAATTGAATATAAAATGTCAGAACCAGAAAAGCTATTAGATCAAGTTCAGATAAAGAAACAAGTGAGGGATTTAATCTGTCTTATTCCTTCTGAAAACAAGTGCATTGGTGTATATCAAAGCTAATGCTATTAAACACTTGAATTGTGCTAACTCCCCGTGTTCTGAGTCTCTGCTTCAGGCTTCTGATAATAATATGACTTTCAATGCTGATCTGTCTATAGAATTAAGAATATACTTACCAGAGAATCTAAGTCTTGAGGTTCATGGTTTGTACATCAGAAATTGTTAGCATGTGTCCATGGAGAAGGGTGGAGTGGTAAGGGATAAGGAGAAGAGATAGACCCATTGTTGACATATCCATAAATCAGATTTCTAAGGTATAACAGCTAGAATATGTAGATCACAGCAGGCCACTGTCTCTCTGAGGTCTCTCTGGGTACTCAGAAACTCTTCACTACGGGGTACCTTGACTCCATCTTGTTGCTAGCTGTTCACAAGCAACTGCTCTGTGAAGACAGTTCACATTTTGGTTTGCAAGACCAGACATAAAGATAGCTACTTCATGAGACAGTTACTGACCAATACAGGTTTTTCTTCCTAAGAGCAAAAGTCAGAATCCCCCTACCTGTTAAATTCTGTGAATCTTTGAAATGTCCCATGAAACAGAGACTGTTATTTTTTTCTTTAGACATTTGACATGCAAATCCATTTGTACAGTCATACGGTAAAATGTACAGTTATATGGAAAGCATCCAGGACAAAGAAATATTACAATAGATTTCCTTCCAAGTATTTAGAGATTCTTCAAATGCTGGTCTGTAATTTGAGAGTTTGACACATATTCCAGAGTCTGAATTCAGGGTCTTCACAGCAACTAGGAAAAAGGATTGAGGAAGCCTAAAAGCTCTAATGCCCATTAAAAAAAAAACACTTGCAAAATATAATTATTGTAAAATACTATTTGGAACTATGTCATGATTAAGGATGCATCAGAAAATAAAGTTCCTTGGCAATTTTGAGTTACTCTCCAACTAAAAATTCTGTTTAATGGACTTTAAAATGATTCTGTATTTGAGTTTAAAAAGTATATATCTCTATCCAGCTTGACAGCTTAAGTACCAGGCCCCAGCCAGATAAAATCTGAAGTGACTGAGGCAGTGCACCTTAAATAAGAGCAATTGGGACTGCCATCCCAAATCACTGCCATCTCTTCTGGCAAGACTAGATTAGCACTAATTCTCATCTGATAAGGGAATCACCTCAAGCTTGGAAATGGCTAGTTTGGATCATCCAATGAATACAGGATAAAACCAGAACAGGATCCCACAACTCAGTCCTGTGGGTAGTCCACATAGATATAGAATGGAGACTCTTGTAGCAGTGATATAGGTAACACAGACACAAGTGTTGCCCCTGCCTCTTTGGGCCAGAGCAAAATAACAAATACTCTCACCAGCCTCTAAAGGTGAGTCACTGTGATGGTTCTTTTTTTTTCTCTTTATTTTTCACTTCATTGTTCATTTTTAAACAATATTTGCTCCCCCCGCCTCAGGCATAGTCCCCACAGAATTTCCTTCACCAATTCTCTCACCCTCCCCCGCTTCTGGCCTGTACCCCAGTTCTTGTATAAATAAATAAATCTTAAAAAAAAAAAGAATTTCCTTCACCAATGCACCCATGCAAGGTTCTTAACCACATCTTGCTTTACATCTTCTCTTTGTCTCATACTGCCACCTGACTCTGGTTCTGCTTCTAGCCCTTTTGAATTGGGTTTGAATTTGGCCTCTGTGTTTTTAGATCCTGGGTTTTTCTAACAGAATCCAATCTGGTTTACTCTGTTGACTCTATGTGCTGAGCTATCCTGGTTCTGGCCCTTCTGTAGCTAATTTCTAGCACAACCCACTGGATGCCAGAGTGTATGTGAGAGTATGGGGTGCAAGGAGGAGGGCTTATGTACAATTTGTATACTCACTTCCTAAAATGAGAGAGAGAAAGAAAAAGAAAGAGAGAGAGAGAAGTGAGTGGGGAAATAATGCATTTGCTATTCTTTATTAACCATCCCGAGGTTTGAAGTAAATACTTAATTAGGTATTTACTTTCCTGCCAAAAATTTTACCGCAGTTCTCAGATTTTGCTGCCACCTGGTGCTAAAATGTTCCAGGTAGTGATGACTAAATAGTTTGACAAACTTCAGAAAGTGTAACCTAGATTCAGAGATAACACAAATCAGGATGCTGGAAACGTCACATGATTAATAAAAGCTACATGAACTTAGAAAATAAAGCTAAGTTAATATAAAAATAAATGAATGTATTATATTATATACCTATTTTATGTATTATAAAAATGTGTAAGAAGTAATACTAGTCAGTTACTATGCAGTTCTGAGAAATCACCATCTCTCAGAATGATGGCCCCCCTGAATTTGTCACTCCTGAAGATGACAGAAGACACATCATTTCTCTTAGTTAATGACCGCCCCCCCCCCAGTTGAAAGCAGTTTGCTGCCTACTCCTTATAGATCACGATGGGCTCATTTTGCCGATAGCTTATTTATATGAATAGAAACTATTTTTTTCCTTTTATGGCCTTCATTGACCTGCCATTTCTCCCCCTTCTTTATTCAGTCACTGTTGTTCTCCAGGCAGGATCTGTTTCCATTGTTTTTGATGTTTTCAAAATTATATTTTGTCTTTATTCTTCTCTACTCACTGTTGGAAGAGACGTTTCCTTCCAGATAATAACTTATCAGCATTTCCTAATCTAACTTACAAAAAAATGTGGTTCTCTTAGACTCTGAAGTAGAGAAATATTTTGCTGCTCATTTAACTTTTGAGTACTAGGTGTTGAGGAATGAACCCCCCACCCCCACCCCAAGCCCAGGGCAGAGAGAAGTTCAGTAGTGCCATCCATTTGTGGCAGGTTATATTTTCCAAAGATGACCAAAAGAATGGGTCTCATCCCACATGCTCTTGACAATGTGGCCTTGACTCTCCTCCCCTGGAGAAGAGTAATTGTCTCCATCCCTAGAGACAGGGGGTTTGCAGCACAGTCTGTAGAGGCCTGCTAAAACCCAACTATGACACCACAGTCACTTAGCTTTTTAGGCTCAGATATTTCAATTCCGGTTACATCACAGATCTTCCCAAGGACAGTAGGCCGTTATTTGGTGTATAAGCAAAGGGCCAATTCAGACCTTTGTGATGCTGAAACAAAGGACACTCTGCCTCAGGGTGTCTTTGAGCAGGGCAAAAACTGCTTACACCAATTTAATAGCTGTTTTGCATGGTGGGGTTCTTCCCATCCCCCCTCCCCCCCACCAATATAACTGGCACAACAGGCTTCGTGGAAGCAGCCATAGCTCTTGTTCAAAGTCTGCTACTGAGATTGCATTTAGGCAGTTCTCCCTGCCTGCTGATAACTGTGCAGGTGTCTCTGTTCCATTATCATTTTCCTAATAAGCTTGTCCTTTTAAAATGTAACCTTCAAAAAAAAAAAAAAAAGAAAAAGAAAAGAAAAGAAAAGAGAGAGAGAGAGAGAGATTGCATTTAGCACTTTGACATATTGCCAACATAGCTTGGATGAGAAAGGGATACTTTATTAATATTTCTGTGGGGCTAGAGGAAGAGGTTTACATTGAAAAGTGATATTCTAAGACTTACTAAAAGCCCCTGTTAATATTTTTCTTTCGCTAGTCTTCCATTATGGACATCAACTCACACTTCTTTTCAGTCTCTCATCCCAAATCATAAACTCACCCCCATCCTGTAGTTTACCATTTGCATCCTCAGATCCATCAACACTCAGAAAAGGAATCCTCTTTAAAGAGTACCCTCTTTAAAACAAAGAAAAATATGGTATACAATCACAATTTTTTTTCAAATACCTCTGTTGTAAAAACTTCTAGAATCAGTTTTTAGTTGATTTTCAAGTCTTTTTAAAAATTTATGAATGAAATCATTCCTACAAAAGAATAAATGGAATGTATATGTATGTATTAAAGAATTAAAAAGAACAATACACAACACCCAGTTTCCTGGATTATGCTGGGACAACGTGGTTAAGCTAGGAGTTGTGGTTCCCAATATTCTGTTTACTCTGTGATTCACAGCTGGCAAAAGAGAAACTTAGACAAATATGGAAGGTAGAAGAGGCACAGTGGCCATTATTCTCTGAAGGTCACTGTAGTCAAATGTGGTGATGAACAGATGTCAGCAAGTGCCAGCTTGTCCTCACTCTCCTCCACTCTGCCGGTAGCTCTTCTCCTAACTGCTTATTTCCCTGCAGTTCCCGTGTGGTTTGCTGAAACCAAACAGCATACCCTCTGGCAGGTATTAATAAGGCAAATGCTGTTTTTTCAATGCCCATTAATAAAGGCTTCCAGAAGCAGTTGTCAGATTCAGCAGATTCAGTGGCTCTTGAGTATCTTGACAAATAAAAATACAAAATAGAGTACGTGGCAAGCCTTTGTGGGTGAATCCCAGCACAGATTTTTTGAAATTTTGAACTAAATCGTGTCATTTTCTACCAATTTTACTTTTTTTTTAAGAATTTTATTTTATTTTTTAATATTTATTTATTTATTTATACAAGCACTGGGTACAGTCAGAAGTGCGGGATGGTGAGAGAATTCACCAGAGCCAGAGCGGGGAACAGAACAGGCAGACAGATGAAATACACTGCTGAGGGGAGCAGCGGGTGTGGCAGGAGAGGTCTGCGCACCATGTGGGACCCTCGCTGGTGGCCGGGGATCAAACTGGCACTGCAGAGGCTGTGGGCAGCTTCGCAGCCCAGCACTCAACCGCTGCACCACCAGGGCGGCCCCAATTTTACTTTTTCTTTTGAGAAACAGCTTGTGGCTTATTCCTGGGCCCTATTAAAGACTAAACACCTGACGATGGTCACCAAGTTATCTTGCAATATGAGCTGCCAGTCACGAAGTCAGTGATGTCTGACCAATAAGCCAGAATGATGGGGATGCAAAAAAGCACTTCATAATCAGTGGGCCTGACATGTAAGAGATCTGGTTCAAGCAGGTCCTAAAGCATAAAAATTTCACCAGTAAGTGTCTCAGATTCCCATGAACCTTACTTCTGCTGTATTACTTCTCCTCTCTCAGTCTATACCTCACTGTGTCTCACTGGGTGTTCTTTATGTCCAGTTGATTAAGGAAGGCCCAAAATAGGTCCAATATACAGATATTTCTACCAAAATGCTGGTTCTCCAAGAAGTACAGCTGGTTAATTTGCCTGCAAGGAAAGACACAAAAGACATAGATCTACATTAATTCATGGGCAATGGCTAATGATTTTGGTTGATTGGTTATTGACTTGGAGGGAATATTTTTAAGAATTGGAGACAAAGAGGTTTGGAGAAGTATGAGAAATACTTCTTTGAATGAGATATGATGGTATTTGTGTTCCAGGTGAATGTTCACTGAAAACCAACCTTATCAAGGAAGGATCTTAATAATCCAGCAAACAAGGTGACCTTTTTCATGGATGTCAACTAATCTTTTCCCCCAGTCATTCTTGTACTTGTCCAATGCACTATTTCCCCTGCAGGGATAGAGGTTATCTAGCAGTATGGACTTCCTCTTACCAAATCAAGTCTGGTTACCTATGCTGCTGAGTCCTTAGGTGCCAAGAGCAAAGCCTAACACCAGCTAGAGATGTGGCAGTATTTCTCAGGCCACCTGGCATCAGTTTGATTACATTGGACAATTTCCACCATGTAAGAGGAAGTACATTGTTCTTACTAGAATATATACTTATTTTGGATGTGGCTTTTTCTTTCCTTCCTGAAGTGTTTTTTCCAAAACCACTCATCTCTGGACTTAAGAATCATCATCATAGTCTCCTGTACAGACTTGTTTCTGACCAGGAAGCTCATTTTACAGAGGATGAGTGTAGTATTGGTCTTCTCGTCACCTGAAGACAGCTGACTTGATTGAATTATGTAATAGCCATTGGGAGACTCAGTTTAGTGCCAGATGGGTGGCATAGCTTACATTTTGGCATGGATGAAGCAGACTTTGTGTTATTTTATTCGGAGAAGTTTCGTCTGTTTTCAACTGTAAAAAGGATAGCTTAATCATGTTATTAAAAAAGCATGGTCTTGTTGATGTCTTTATTGGAAATTAAATATGGTGAAAGAAGTGTGTGTAGATCCCAAGTTGACAAGGGGTGGCCTGTCTTGGATGATACTATGTCAACCTGGTTAAACTGAGAACTACATTTCCTAGAATTCCATTTTTTTAAATGATTTTTTAACTAGAGTAGGCAAAGAGAGGTAATTGTGCTAGGCTTGAAAGGCAAAAGTAAAGCATTCATTCCTTTTTGAGGATTATTGTGGTCAGGGTAGTGGTGGACAGATACAGAGGGGCCCAGCAAATCCATCTTGTCCTTTCTCACCAGCATTCAAAATCTCTTACCAATCTTTACAAAGCACTTCCTGGACTGCATGTCCCTTGCCATGCTACCCTCTGTACTTCCAGCTAGCTCTGTCCATTTTACCTTTCTCCTCAGTCATCTGCATCTGGCCTCTGTCACATCCTTGCCCCTAAAATGACTCTCAGTGTTCTTCTCCCTGTACTCATTCTTTCTGGATTTCTATTTCTATGATATACTAATGACTTTCAAGAATAGATCTGTCCAGGGCCTCCCTGGTGGTGCAAGGGGTTAAGCACCACACTATGAAGCAGTCCACAGCCTCTGCAACACAAGTTCCATCCCCGGCCTACCGGTTGCTCCATGTGGGAGCAACCTACATGGCGAAGCAGACCTCTCCTGTCTCACCCACTGCTCCCCTTAGCAGTGTATTTCAGTCAGCCTGCCTGTTTTGTTCCCCACTCTGTCTCTGGTGAATCCTCTCACCCCCCCTGCATCTCTGACCTCTGACCCAGCTCTTGTATGCATAAATAAATAAATCTTAAAAAAAAAAAAAAGAATAGATCTGTCCAGGTGTCCACTTTGAGTTTCATACCTGCATAGCCACCTGGATGATAGACAGGTACCTACAACTCAGCAAGTCCATAACTAAACATCTTTTAAAAAAATTAATTACAGAGTTAATTTTCTTACATCATTTTTCATTTTTGTATAATAATTGGTTTCTCCCCTCAGGTGTAGTCCCCATAGTTCTCACACCACCACAGCACCCATGAACTATTACCATATTTTCTTGTGCTCTTCCCTCCCAATTTTTACCTCCCTCTCTCCCTCCACTGCCCCTACTGGATGCCTGAGATTTATGGTCAGCTTGCAAGTTTTGTCTTTTTCTTGACCTTTTGCTCAGTTTCTCTATATTCCACACATATAAATGAAACTATTTGATATTTATTTTTTCTTTTTCCTTCTGACTTATTTTGCTAAGCATAATCCCTTCCACCTCCATCCACATTGCTGCAAATGGCATGAATTCATCTTTTTTTTTTTTTTTTTTTTTTTTGTGGGACCCTCGCCTGCAGCCAGGGAACGAACTGGCGCTGCAGAGGCTGCGGGCGGCCTCACAGCCCAGCGCTCAACCGCTGTGCCACCAAGGGAGGCCCATGAATTTATCTTTTTTTGATCACTGAGTATAACTAAACACCTTACCTCCCCTTGAAACTATTTCTTCTTTACATCTCAGTGAATGGCACAAGCATTCACTCGGGTGTCCAAGCCAGAAACCTGGTTTGCAAGTTTTCTCCTTTCCTGCTGCCATTCTCCTTGTTGCGGGCTCCTTTTTCTCTGGCTTGGATTACTGCAATAGTCATGTGTCCTGAAGTTGTGAAAATCTCATTGACTAAAACAACTAGAGTGCACCATATAAACACTATAGTTAATTTTCAGTGTAGAGCCTGAGAATATGGGGCATTCAATCTGTTTAATGGGAGAAGTTGGTATCAATAATGGACCAATAATTTCCCTGACACTTGCACCACAGTGGACATTTTCAGAGGGTTGTACCTCGTGACAATGCTATTCATTCCACAAATATTTATGAATTTCCTACCATGAGCTGGGAAGTATGCCTGCAAGAGAAGTTTCCAAGGCATTGATTCACTGTGTACGTTTTTGGGCCCACCACCTTGTGACATGCAGAGAATACAAATAAAAAAAGAAAAAGTCATAGCTTCCAAGGCCTATTATTTTCAGAGAATAAATTAAGTCAATCTAGAGACATATGTAGACTGTTGTCTAGAGGCAAAGATTCCTTTCCTGTGACACATAGGGACCACCTCCTTGGGACCTGAATTAAATTGCAAGCAATCTCAGTAATGAATTCAGCCTTGTGCTCAGCCCATTCCCAGAACCTCTGGTTTAATTATGAGAAGAAAACCTATTTATTCTGGGACATCACCACTTTGGGATAAATTCCTGGAAGTCATCAGAGAAGCGAAGGGAAAATCTTTCTCAGAGTCCCTTCTCTGGCTTTCTGAGAAAGAAGTGTTTCATGTTTGGCCTGTCAAGTTGCTTTTAATATCTGCCCATAGATTTGACCCTTATTGAATTCTCTTTGAACTTAAGTTTTCCTGTCTGTCCAAAGACCTGGGGTGTCTCCTGTGGAGGAGTTGGTAAATGTTTGCCTCCCTCTGATATCATCTTTCCCTGAGCACACTTTTCACATTATAGTTTACAAAATAAATAAGTAATAATATTCCTGTAGTACTTTACATCTTACAAAGCTTTTAATGTGTTTAAATTCATTTAATCCTAATAGCAACTCCAAGAGGCAAAACCATAAGGAAGCTAAAGATCAGAGAAGAGTAACTTGTCTAACATGGCCCAGTCACAAAATGACAGACCGCACAAAGAACTAGGTAATTTAATGCCTATATTCCCCCACACCCCCAATGTTCCTCCCTACAGCCATCCAGTGGCTACATTTTTCACTAATTCAAACTGATCCAATTAAATTTTTTCTGAAATCTGAATAAAGCTATGTTGATATTGTGAGCCCCTAATATCCCTGATGAAGGAACACTGATCTTTGGGGACCTATGACATATACCTTTCCCCTCCCCCATTAAGCCAGGCTCCCAGGACTCACCAAGAATAAGGACATGCAAAGGGAAGTTCTCCTGATGCGAAAGTCCTCAACCCTAGTTGCTTGCTGAAGACATGGTAGGTTTTAAAAAAATAATGAATCCTGAGTTCTAGCCCTACTGATTTTTAATTGCTCTTGAGGACAGCCTGGTCATTGAGGTATTAAAAAAATTCCTCTGGTGAAACTAGTGTACAGGCAAGATGGAGAAACATTGCCTGAGGGCTTCCATGTTCACGTGTTCCTTGTTGGCCCTGTTGACTCATTCTCTCTTTTCTTAATGCTTATTACACCTATTATTATTTCACAGTCGTTGAATAAAATTTAGAAAATGCAGATTAAACTTTGGTGATTAGTCATAATTTTTCTACAGAAAAAAACAAATACTGTTAGCAATTCAGTGCATATCTTTCCAGCTATTTTTTCTATGTAGCAACCCATAAATAAGTAAGCCTATACTCTTTAAAAGTCAAAATGACGTCAAGCTAATATTTTTGCCATTTTAAAAAAATGTATCAATAAATTTCCAAAGCTTTTATGGCATTCCATTATTTGGCTATACCTCATTTAGTCTTTAACAACAATAGGACTTTCCTTTTCATCTCCATATCCACTTCCTTTCACACAATTTGACACTTGAAATCTGAGAATCTATTAAGAATGATCAGATTTGGTTGTTTCTCTTAGCTTCTAAGCCAATTCTAATTTACTTGGCAGAATTACAACTAAACACTATGCCATTGTGGAAAAATCTTTTTGGAGGGAAGTTTGGAAACTATTTTAAATATATAAACCACAATAATCTTAAAGAATGAGAGAAACTCTGGACCCCACAATCCTCAAACCACCATGTCTTCGGTTGTTGGGGTCTTTTCTCACATTGTTGTAACCAACTATCTGGGTAAGTTCATTGAGGAAGTATATGAAATAATGCTAATAATAATTATAACTAGCATCTTCTTAGCCAGTTAGAGTGGCTAGTTCTAACATAAAATTAAGAACTAATTAGCATATACTATAGATCCTTATTGAGAATCAATATGCCAGGCAGAGAACTAGGCACTTAATATAGTCCTCTGTTTGATATCTCTCATAAAGATGGCACAGTGTATTTTTATCCCCATTTTATATACAAGGTATCTATGTTCAAAGGAAGGGCCTGAATTTACTACTGAGATATGGATTTTGTCATGGCTTTTTCTCAGCATTATATCTTAGAGCTTAGCTCAGTATCTTGCAGTGGGCCTAGAAATGCAGGCGCTCAATACACAGTTGACGGATGAAGAAAAATTTAATCACATGTTGTTCTATTAATTCAAATTGTCCCTGAGTGATGCAGAAATGTTCTCCCCAGAAGAGATTTGCTAACTGAACCTTAATTTTCTGGCAGTGATTACTCACATAGGAGTGATTTGCTGGGTCATGAAAATCTGCCTGTAATTCTTTTTTAAAAAAAAAGATTTATTTACTTATGCACACAAGAACTGGGGTACAGGCCAGAGGTGCAGGGGGATGAGAGGATTCACGAGAGACAGAGTGGTGAACAGAACAGGCAAATTGACTGAAATACACTGCTGAGGAGAGCAAAGAGAGAGACAGGAGAGGTCTGCTGTGCCATGTGGGTTTCTGCCTGGCCAGGGATCGAACTCATGCTACAATGGCTGCAGATAGCTTCATAGTGCTGAGACCCAACCCCTTGCACCACCAGGGAGGCCCTGCTTGTATTCTTTTCATTCTCTGGGGCAATGGCCCTCAAAATATGGGCCCTAACTCAATAGCATTGGTGTCACTTGTGAGCTTATTAAAAATGCAAATTCATGGCTCCTACTCCAGACCTCTGCATCAGAATTTCTGGACATACATCTCAGGAAACCTTTTTAATAAACTTGCCAGATGATTCCATTGAATATTAAAGATGGGAACCATGGAGAATAAATGAATAATATTTGATTTGGATGATTAGGTGGATGAAGGAGCCCTTTATGGAGATTGGGAAGATAGGAGGGGCAAGTTTGGAAGGAGGTCATGGATTTGGGTTTGCTATCTTAAATTTGAAGTATGTGTGGGATATCCAGTTGAAGATATCTGGAGCCTCCAGGTTTAGAGCTCACGGGAAAGAACTAAGTTAGAGATATAGGTTTGGAAGTGGTAGCTGACGCCAAAAATAAGATTGCCCAGGACAGTAGGAAGACAAAAGGAAGGCCATTGAATACTCAATAGGACTATTTAAGGAGAGTGAGGAAGAAGCCCTCAGAGAAAGAAAAATCTGAGGACAGTCATTTGTCCTTGTAAGTGACTTACATTGGAATGTTTGCCTCATCTTCCCTTCTGGATTATAAGTTCTTTAAAGGCAGAAACTGTGTAAACTTGAATAAGTCACTCAAACAAAAGTACGTTGCTGTACAGTCTGTGAATAATCAGTGAATTCCTACCAGGATTCCACTTTGCAGAAATCTAATGTGATCAGAGCCACCAGCAAGATGTTTCCCCCCAAAAAGACTTCTATAATTTCCCAATGGACAGTGTGGCAGATTAAAAATAAGTGAATAAATAAAGGGTATCATGTGTAATCCACTGATATCCATGCTAACCACATTAATCAGAGTGAATTAATTACACCTGAAAACAGATGCAAAGTTAAATTCCTTAGAAAATCAATTCATTAAACTCATATTGAAATGCACAGTCAACAACCCCCATGTTTAGAAACTATCAGTGTGATTTGTGGCAACTTCTGATTTACTCACAAAACTGCTTAAAACATTTTTAAAGGCAATTACAATTACTGTCTGGCATTTGATGGAAAGAAATCTCGTCAGCATTGTCCCTTGTGTGTCAACTGTCACAATTTTCTAAAAATTTTGAGGCGAAAAATAGGTAGGCTCTACTATTTGCTAGCCTCGATTAGGGTTAATTCAATGTGTGTCTGCAAATAATAGTGTTTAATGTAATCTCTCTAATTAGAGATAAAACACATTTTCAGTCATGCTCATCACTGACAATATTTTGGGATAAGTTAAACTGACAGCTGCTTTCTAGAGGAAAGGAAAAAACAAACCCTTCCTTGGGGTTGTGTTGATTTTCTCTCCTTTTTGCATTAAACTTCAAAAAAAATGAAACTAGACACTTTGGCTCTAGATATCAACTTTGGAAATCATGACATAGTTTACTTCTTGGGAATATGATATGCTTTTCATCTCCTACACCCATCAATGAATATCTAACTTGAAATCACTCAACAAATATTTTCTAAGGGTTTCCAGTGAACCAGGCATTGTGCTAGACACTAAGGAGAATAAGAAGGAAATTTTCTACCAAAGCTGTCTCCCACAACTGGTCTTATGGACCAAGTCAAGCTTTCTACTGTACTAGATGTGATACTCACTGTGCTGCTGTATTTAAAGCCTCTTCTGTGTTAAGTTATTCAAGCCCCACATGAAGGGTCAATGCATGTTCCTCTCCAACTCCAGCTGACTGTAGATGACCCAAGGACACCTAATCCACAGATTGTTCAGGGAACTTCAATTGGCCTGGCATGAAAGGCTGAGTGAGACCATTAGATTTTTCTCTCTCAGGAACAGGAATTGGAAAATATTGAATAAGGTGGTTAGTGGTAAAGGTGAAATTAGAAAATGGTGAAAAACTTCAAAATAGAAATAAGACCATAAGTACACAAGCAACGTCAGGTCTAGGAGGTTATGAGGAAGTGGAAACACGGGGCCTTGTTTAAGGTTGAGTGAATGAAGGGATTAATAAATGAACAAGTAGGGGCCTCCCTGGTGGCACAGGGGTTAAAGACAGCGCTATTAAGCTATCACCAGCCACTGCAACACGAGTTTGATCCCCTGTTCCATCCCTGCCAGCCAGGGAGAAACGCACATGGCACAGCAGACCTCTCCTGCCTCGCTCGCTGCTCCCCTCAGCAGTCTATTTCAGTCAGTCCACCTGTTCTGCTTCCCACTCTCTCTGGTGAATCCTCTCACCCCCCACCCCCACTGCACCTCTGGCTTATACCCCAGTTCTTGTATGCATGAATAAATAGATCTTAAAAAAATAAATGGTGGCGCAGAGGTTAAGCGCTGGGTTGCGAAGCTGCCCGTAGCCTCTGCAGCGCCGGTTCGATCCCCGACTGCTCCCTGGCCACCGGAGGAGGGTCCCGCATGGCGCGCAGACTTCCCCTGCCGCCCGCTACTCCCCTCAGCAGTGTACTTCGGTCCTTCTGCCTGCTCTGCTCCCCGCTCTGGCTCTGGTGAATTCTCTCACCCTCCTGCGCTTCTGACTGTACCCAGTGCTTGTATAAATAAACAAATAAAAATAAATAAATAAATAAATAAATTAAGCAAGGCAGTCTGTTAACAGAATGAATCAAATAGAAGTAGAAGGGGAAAGGTGGGGAGAACAGGGTGTGGAGAGAGCATGTGTATGTGCTGCAGGAGTATAGGTGCTTGGGCTGTGGGTGTGCCAGGGTGACTACACCTGAGGGAGGAAATCCTGTACTTCCAAAACTCTAACAAGGATGTAAACCAATGGTATTTCAATTAAAAACTAAAACAAAGAAAAATAGAAGTAGGAATCTGAAACAACAGCTAAGGTAAAAAATGGTAGAATTTGCAGATATTTTGAGGTCTTTGGACTTCCCTATTTGTGGAATAATGAGTTCAAAAGAATTTCTTTGAGATCCTAAGCAGAGTCCAACTGTATATATATGGGTCACACTAAACTTGTGTTTGTTCCAAGAGCAGCCCCATATATAAGGGATTCTAAAACTCACCCATGATGACACGATGCTAGATTCTTCTACATTGTTAAGACTCTCCAAGTTGAATTTACACCCATGGAGTCACTTTCTGGGACAAGAAAATAGTTATGTTGTCTCTGGAAGGCCACCATCAAATGCCATTTGGAAAGGAAGAATGACATATAAGACAGTATTCAGATTTCTAGCCTGCAAGATTGTCAAAATTACATCACCTTAGAAGCGAGAGAGCTGGGAAGGAAAGGAAAACTGGTCCTGAGGTCAGGGAATGACTTATTCTGTGCATATTGAGTTTGTTCATTCTCCAAAAATGTAACTAGAAAGCACAACAGGATGTCATTTTGCAGTCACTGGATTAGCAAAAATGAACAATTGAGGAATTGAAGGTATTGCCAAGAAAGGGAAGGGGTTTGGCTCCTAACCCACACACAACACTAAGATGTCCCAGAAAATATTTTATGCATGCAATGATGAAGTAACCATGAGCACTCCCACATTCCTAGTTCTGAACCATCACACACACACACACACACACACACACACACACACACACACACACACACACAACCTGCACTGAGATATGAGATATGGTGTTTGGGGTTGAGCCAAATAAAAGCTGCATTTGTGTTGCCCACAGAGAGGGGCTTCTAAGCAGTAATGGCTTCAGCAAAAAGACAGAATTCTATCAACCTTTGGGAACTCTAAGCCTGATTCTTGTAAATTCTGGTTTCATAAACAATATTTTTGATATAAAAATGTTCTTCATACCCTTAAAGAAGACTTTTAGGCAACAAATGATTGAAGTGATACAGTTGAAAGAAAAAGAATTTCATACATTGTGCATGATTGTATCTTCTCAAAGCATCCAGCAGTGCTTTGCCCCCAGGAAGCAGTCAATAAATGGTTATTGAATTTAGAATGTCCTTCTTCCCAATCAGTGAGGTTTAATATATTTCCAATTCAGAATGCCTATTAATTTTTCAGCATTAGCAAGCCTTTTAAAAAATCCATTTGGGAATATGTTTAAGAGTTCACAGCAAATACTATTATATAAATGGTTAAGAGAATACTGTTAAACAAAGCATGCTTATTCAACACACCAGTAGTCATTGATAAAATGTAATTTAATCATTTAAATTTACATTGTTAATATACAAGAGCATTTCTTTCAAACCACAGGTTAACACACACTAAAGAGCAATGCTGTTAGAGGAGCAGAGAAACTTTGCAAAACTCTGCTTTCTGAAATAAAAGCAAGGCACTCTCCATTAACAGCTGGTGGATTCCTGATTTCTGCCCACAGAAGCATGTTCAGACTGAGAGCTCTCCCACCAGGGAAGAATCACCTGCTTTATTTTTGCTGTTCTCTTCTGAGCTAGTTTGGTCATCCACTCTGTATACATTTGTGTGTCAACGTTAAGACCAAGGGAAAAAAAAAAAGAGTTGGTTGATGACTTGGGAGGCTCTCATAGTTGCAATAACTATGGAAGACAGAAGAACACTGGCTATACTTTTTATTTTCAGCACTAGTGTCTGGATCTATAACTAAAACCTTTTCTCACTCCTTCCTACCAATTGCTATCACGGCTAAAATGTCTTTTCCTTAAATCTGATGGGTGTAAAAAGAAAAAGGAACAGCATTTCTCTAGAGCTCTGTTTTTTGCTTTGTTTTCTTTTTCTTTAAGACATGACAAAAAACAAGGAATAACTTTCCAATACTAATGGTGCACAAAAGGGTTATGTATGCACAGTATTTCTAATTTATTCAAATTCAATTTGAATTTGGTCTGAAGCTACCTTGTATGAAATGTTAGCTTTCCTGATATTTAATGATGTTTATTATGTTTGCATATAAGCTCAAAAAATTAATGCAAAAGTACTACTTTACCCATAGTTATCGCCAGGTAAAATGTAAATATTAGTGGTTATGTTAAAAAGCCTGTTTTCCTATAGATGCAGTAAGTGTCTAAAGTCCACAGAAAGGGGAATTAGATCCAAGTTTTAATTCCATTGTTAGCTGTTAGACCTTGGGTGATTCTTTTCCTTTCAGTTTTCCCCTTTATGAATTTTAAGGAGTAAGATTAATTGACAAATCAGGCCCCTTCCAAGTCTAACATTCTAAGATACTAATATTCCAGATCCTATCATCTTGATATAAAAATAATAATCTTTCATAAAAGCTCATACAAACATAATAAGAATCAAATATCAGAATGACTCTTGGGAAAAAAGAAACATATATGATTTGCTATCTGGGTTATTCTTTGCAGCAATTAGGCAATTCATTTGGCATTTGTTTGATTGTATAATTTAATGACAATATAAACAGCATAGTTTTGTTATTTTTTTCTTTAAAAAGACTAAAGCAAAAATGATTTAAAGCTAACAAAAACTACTGTAACATCAGTTTGACATTCAAAGTTGTTTCTTAGCAAAATGGCCAAAGATATTTTGACTTGATACAGAGTATATAATATAAAGACATTTAGGCCTAAAAACCTTCAAACATTATTCGAATTTAGCAAAACATAAGCAAAATTTTAATATCAAAGTGCTAAACAGTACTGCCTTAAAAGTCACTGCAAATGAACCATAAAATAACCGCATGGAAATAACATTTATTGTACAAATGGTTAATAAAAAGACACATTATAAATATATATGTAACCTGCTATATTTATATATATATTTGCTTAATTTCTAATTGGTGTATCCAAGTCACTGCGAACACCCCATTGAAGTACTCTGTAACTCAGCTTCCAGGAGCTGGTGGTCTTGCAATAAATACAGGCAAAGCTATTACAATATAACGTGCATACAAAGGTTTATACAAATAAGGACACTATGCAACAAATTATCTCATAATAATGTGGCATTAACAGTATAAACATACAAAAGGGAGTACGAACACGGAATGTTGAAACGCAGCCCGCTAATCCTTTCTAGTACTCACATTCATACTATTTTTTTTTAGACTAAGACTTGCTTGCTCTCCAGAATTCTCTTTAATCAATAACAAAATTAAATTATATATTCTTAAAAAAAAAGCCACATTTTCCCCAGTGCATACCCTGTGTGATCCAGTTCCTACTTATTTGAATGTTTTCCTCTAGGGATCAAACATTTAAGACTCACTGACTGCTCCAGAGCCTCTGAATGAATGTCAGTCACTTACTGTAACTGAGGCAAGTTTTGAAACTCTGGCTGGGTTGATAGAACACAACCAATACATTTGTATGCAATCTGCCATATAATCCAAGTCCCCTCCCGGTCAGTTGGACATCAGGGTAGGGATCTGGATCCACTGAGAATGGGCCTAAAATCTGAAATGGACCATACATACCTCAGAAGGGCTCTACAGGGCAGGTGGCCTCTGCTAGGAAAATTAGCATGTGTCATTTGCTGATATAACTGCCTCCTTTTTTATTTCCATATAAAATAAAGGAGAGTTAATAAACAAGACTTAGTAAGACAGCACTTTAAAAATTGCACTTGTATATGGAAGCGAACAGCCATTATCATTTTGCTATGTTTGATTTATAGATAATCCTCCATCTTCCACCATTTGTTAAAATAAAATAAAGGAAGAAAGAAAATAAGAAAAGGGAATTTCTGCCTTGTTTGCACCACATACACGCCCTTGATGTGGAAAATGTATTCTAAAGGGCTCAATCTCAAGACACATTTGACCCTGGTGAACAACGTGGCTGTTGTTTTTAAATACAAAGCAACTATAATTGTATTCCCCAGAAAGAATTTTAAAACAGTTATATTATCCTTTTTTTTTTCCTGCTGGGATAGCATCGTCCAAAAGTGCTTTGTTAGCAATTTCTTAGAAAACGCTCATGAACTATACCCCAACTCCCACCCCAACCCCAAAGCCTAAATATAAAACACAACCCCAACACAATACTCCGCAAGTTTTCTGGCTTTAGGTTGTAAGGAAAAGTGCCAGAAAAAAAAAAAGTCTTTTCTATAGGAGCTGCTTCTCCTCTTAAGGACAAAAAAAAATGGTCGCTGTCCAGACCCATCCCTTTGCTGCTTAGCAAGCAAGTGCTAGCAGATGAGGCAGCTCCCTGCTCAGGAGGCTCCTGCTCAGAAAGGCAGGGTGTCCAGGAAGAGCTTGTCGATGATAGAAGGTGGAGACACCAGGTCTTCCAGCTTCAGGTAGAAGATGCGCTGGAGGCCCAGGGTGCAGATCTTCCGCAGTTCCACCAGAGCACCCCGGACCTTGGGCTCGGTGGGCTCCAAAGCCTGTCCCTTACTCTGGTGGTCTTTTAAGCTGCTTGTGATTTTGTTGCATAGCTCCTCCACTCTCTTTGGTTCTTTTAACCCATGTCGTTCTACAGAGAGAAAAGGGCAAGTTGAGGTGGCAGTTACATCTTAAGAAACTCGGCATCGCTACTCAAGGCCCCTGTCCCATTCCACCAGCTGGGATAGCGTTTTGCGAAGTGCACTCCCTCTTCGAGGTTGTTCACGGCCTTTGGTATCAAATCTGCACCGGGGGTGAATCCCCATCACATCACTCCTCACTGTGTACCCTTGAGTAAGTCTCTTAACTTCTCAGCTATGTGTTCCTTCTTAGATGAAGATAATTGTTGCACCCACTTCAGAGTTTCTGGGAGGACCAACTTAGCTAAATAACACATATGAAGCAGACAGTTCCTGACAAAGTGACATTGAATAAATGACAGGCTGGCTGTTATTTTGGACACATTTTTCTACTGAGGTCCACATGCCCTGTCAAGAGGCAACTCTTTTTCAGAACTCTTTTTCACATCCAGGCAAATAAATTAATGTTCCCATCTAACAGATTCCCCTGGGTGGTGTGTGTTCGGGGTGTTCTGTAAATTCCATTTGCTCGTGTAAGGACTGACCGATTAGATGCAAGGTAAAGTGCATTCTTGTGTTTTCATGTTAACTAGCATAGAGGAGAATCCACCTTTCCTTTCCTTTTTTAACCTCTTCAAACACCTATTGCCCTATACCTGGTGCTCTAGACAAGATGCACATGTCCTCCTGCTGTGGAGACGGAAAAGTCAGAGAAGGGAGGTGGCCTAGCAGGATGCAGGGCAGGTACTCTATAATGTAGCCAGTCATTAACACCTGTATATTATATTTATTAAAAAAATATATACACACATATATATATACATATATACAAATATATATACATATACATATATATCTCCCATTGGTAAATTTTATTATCTCTTATTTTATGTGTGAGATTAAGTGATTTTTCTAAAGTCTCCCAGTAGCTACAGGCTGAGATTTGAACCCAGTTTTTTGAGGCAGATTTTGTCCTCAGCTCCAGAGCCAAAGAGTATCTCCCTATAATGAGAAAGGAACCTGGCATCCTTCCCTCAGCATTTAGGTATCAGTGCCTCTTTCCTGAGGGAAATTGGGCCTCAGTTATCTCAGTCAAAGATTTCATCTCTTAATATAATTAATTAATTACATGTAAAACAGTTCTTGAGACATGAAAGATAGCATTCCAATAGGAAATCAAGTATTTCTAATGTTTTCTACATTAATATTTTTAGTTGGAGGTTTTTTTTTTGTTAGAAGAGTTATTTTCTTAAAGCAAAAGTCAATCAGAAAAACAAAGCAACTGTTCAGACATTTTTTTACCCCTGTCTCTTGCCCAGAAGCCGGAGATCTGTATTCTTCCTCAGCTTGGCTACTTGTGTAGGACTTGGATGAGTTCTGCCCTCTCTAGGGTAGAAGGAGCTTAGATTCAATGACCTCTAAGGTCCCTTTCAACTCTGATGTGTTATAATTAAAGCACAAGCATGATAATTGCCAGCAGACTCTCAGTGGCTTGTGACTTGCAAGTCTCATCTCCATGTAACAATGTAGAGAAAAGGGCATTGGGCTTGGAGTCCAGTGGATGCAAGTTTCAATTTGTGTTTTGTCACTGACTAGCCATGTGCCTTAATCTCTCTAAGGTTCACTGCCCTTCTGGGGAAATGGGGGTCATTAGGTGGTGGAAACATATATCTTTATTCCTTTCTGTGTATTTTAAATGTTACATAACAAATTAAAAGGGAAAGTACAATTGTAATAAAACCCTCTTCTGAGGGTCACTGTGAAGCTCAACTAAGATGTGGCTACATGATATGTCCTGTCAGCCGCAGAGGCCACACACGTGGCATTGTCAGCTCCTAAGACAATGCCTTACACGTGGCAAATGGTTGGCAACTTCAGGATCAAACAAAAGACAATAAAGTCTCCTGCATCCCAAGCTTCTGAGAGCATGGTTTCAGGAAACTTCTAGTTCATTAGCCCAAGTGTAAACCTATCTTCTGTGGTTTATCATCACTGAATATGCCCCCTTGTTTCAGTCGCAGAAGAAGCACCCAAGAGTGAACTTCAAGAGGAGTCTTGCCTACAATGATGCTCTGCCTAAAGTTTTATTCCAACCCCCCCACCCCACCAAAAAAAAAAAAGTGAACTATTATACAAATCTGACAGTAAATTTCAAGAGCTATAAAATGTTCATAGCCTCTGACCAAGTAATCCCTCTCTTGGGAATTTATCTGAAGGAAAAATTCAACAGAATAAGACTGTAGGCATGGAAACATTTTGGGTAGCAGCATCTATTTTAAAAAACTGGAAAAAGATAAAGAGTGGAAGAATAGGGTGAAA